AATACCTTTATCTGCTGAGCCTTCTCACCAGCCCTTTATATCTTCTTTGTTTATTCACTTATTTTTGTGGTGCTGGAGATGAAGTCCAGGCCTCACACTGTTAAACATGTACTCTGCCACTGAGCTACATCGCCAGCTGAAAGATTAGTATTAGTAAGATAGCATGTACCCTTTCTACATGTGTCAGAATCAAGTAGAAGAAAGATTGGAGCCTTGAAGCTTACCTCTTTTCCCAGTTAAGTATCTTATTTGTAATTTGCAGATTAATACAGTTGCTTTGCTTGTAAATAGGTTTGGTGTCTATCCTAGAGCTTACAATGAGGTTTGTTGTTTTCCAGTGGCCGTATAAAGGACGTCCTAGAGAGAAAAGCTTCCTGTATGAGATAGTGGCTAATAAAAGAAATGGCATTGATGTGGACAAATGGGATTATTTTGCCAGGTATGCATTGAGCATTTCAGAAAAGTTGCTAAAATCTTGTATAAATTTAGTATCAGAAGTTGGACACCAAAGTCCAACTGGCCTTGTGGCCACCAAGGTAGAGATGAAACAACCTTCCTTTTCAGCCCTGGGCTTCCGTCCTCCCTTCTTCCAGCTCTAGCAGTCACTCTGCTGGGCTTCTGGGTAACTCTGAAGGTGAAGCGAGGTACAAGACAGTCTCACATTGAAGAAGGAAAAGAACTTCCCCTTTTCTTTCTGTTCTCTTCTCTGTTTTCTCTCTGTTCTTAAGATCCTTGAAGGATTTTATTAATAAATTAGAATAATGTGAGGCTCTTCCAGGTACTTATGCCTCATGTTGCAGTGAATGTCAGCATACGACCAGGCATACTTCACTTATTCCACCTCTTCCATTATTTTAAAGTAAATCTTGGGCAACAGAACATCTCATCCAGAAATGTTTCTGTGTCGATCACCATTAAAACTAAAAGTATTTTGCAATTGTTTTAAGTTTGGGTGTATGTGTGTTGTTGTTTTGGTTTGGCTTTGTTGTTTATTGCTTGGATGGGGATTTTTTTGCTTCTGTTTTTGTCTGGGTTTGTTGTTGTTGTTTTGAGACAGGGTCTCACTGTGTAGCCTTGGCTAGCATAGAACTCACTGTGTAGAATAGGCTGGCCTAGAACTCACAGAGATCCACCTGCCTCTGCTTCCTGAGTGCTGGAATTAAAGATGTATGCCATCATGCCCAACTAAGGTATTATTAGATGGTCAGTATTCAGAAATCCCTGGGTGTTTCATGAATATCTTTTTACTGTTAGCTTATACAAATCAGAATCCAATGTCAAGTGTTTACGTAGCATCTCTCAAGTCCTTCAGTCTACATCTCCCCTCTCATTCTTCCAGGGATTTTCCCACAGTTATTTGTCCTTTGTATCCTGTAATACATTCTTTATCCTATTGCAGACTGGTAGATCCAAAGCCTGGGTTCAAAAAAAGAAAAAGAAATGTAAGCCGGGTGTGGTGGCGCATGTCTTTAATCCCAGCACTTGGGAGGCAGAGGCAGGCGGATCTTTGTGAGGCTAGCCTGGTCTACATATGAGTTTCAGGACAGCTGGGGCTACAAGGAGACCCTGTCTCAAAAAAAGACACACACACACAAAAAAAGAAAAAGAAATGAAATACTGGTATTTAAGGTACAATTTCCTTGTTGATCTTTAATTGCACTCAGCAGCTGAGCTATCTCTCCAGTCTTTCAAACTCTTCATAATGCTTAGCATTTGTTCATTATCTTAAGACTCTTTTCACTTCTTCTGCATTGTTAAATAATAACAACAATAATAAAATAAGTCCAACACCTATTGAGTCTTACGCTGGATAAGCTTTAAGTGCTTTAGATGGATCAACTCAATCCTTATTACCTGTGAGATAGGTACTATTATCATTCCATTTGTCTTGGTCTGTGTTCTGTTGCTATAACAAAATACCTGAGCCTGAGGATTTAGAAAGGAGATTTATTTAGTTCACAGTTCTGGAGGAAGTCCAAGATGGTAGGGGTATCTGCTCTATTTCTGTTCCATGCATGGTAAAAACCAGAAGGGCAGGTGGGAAGGTGCTAAAGAGAGGAAGGTGAAGACCCAAGCTGCCTTTAAATAGCTTGCTCTCCCCTAGGCAGACACTCTCATAGGATCTAGATTAACCCCATGAGAGTGGAACCCCTATGACCTAATCACCTCTTAAAAGTCACACCACCATCACTTTAGGAACTTGATTTTGACATGAGTTTTGTGGGAACAAACCATACTTTACTATGGCACTCTAACAAGTGAGCAAATTAAGGCACATAGGAGGAGAACAGTCATTAAGTAACAAAACTGGATTTCAGCTCCACTGGATCCCTATTAGATGATAGTCCTCTAAGTAAAGAATGGTAGTGTTATGCTCTGTTACAAATGAGAAGCATACTCCTGTCTACTTGCTGGAGTATAAGATGCTGGGACTGACATGTAACTCAGTGGAAGACCATGTGCTTAGCATGTGTAAAGCCCTACACACTCCCTAACACCTCTCAAAAAACTTAAAAAAATAAAGGAATCTGTCACAAAATTAGAACATGGAATAGATTTTAGTTTGGTGAGAATGAAAAC